TTACAAAAGCAGCACAGATCAGCCTGCGCATGTGTTTCTCTGTACATTTTTCAGCTTCTGCATCCCTTGTGCAGTTTTGATGGTCAATAGTTCTCTTAAAAGTCTGTTTCTTAAGCAGAGCTGCACCTTTTCATAAAAATGAAGAGGAGATGATAAAAGGGAAGCTGAAATACAAGCAATGTATGTTTCCGTATTTAAAAGGAATTGGATATCAGGGTAATATTGGTACGCAAAGATTTTAGAAATAAAAAGTGATGTGCATGTGCAAATGTTTATAAAGACATGGACAAAAAATAGATTTGTTTTACTGTTGATATTTTTTCTTTTCCTTAAATAAGCATAGCTGTTACAACTAGGGTAAGGTATAGAGTGGGGCCTTCTGGGCTTTGAAAAACTGTGTAAACAGTTCTAGGGGATTTCAGGGTATTTCTTGTCTGGATATTGTCTGTGGTAACATTTATAACCCAGTTAAAGTAGATGTGACATGTACTGTATACACGCTTGTTAAATCAGCACAAAGTAGCTGGGTGTGCATGGATGATATAAGCAGCAAAAACTTGGGACGAGTTGGTTGGGTTTCTGTTTGCCTTGGCATTGTTTAACAGTTTTGATGAAATTCCCCAACAAATCTGTAACTTTTGGAGATGTGCCAAAGCACTAAGGAAGCAGCTTTACTTACATCGGTATTTAAAAATGCCGCATGGGATGACCCTTTTAACTTCAGGTCTAACTTTCATCCCAGGCAAAACGAAAGGATAATTGAAGATGAGCTTTTGTGTCTGAAAACTCATCTTTCTTCCCCAACTGTAAGTTGATCTAATAAAATACACTATCCCTGCCCACAGACCAAGCCTACCCTAATTTATGCCCTTCAGCATAGCTTTTGGGAGCTTGGGTCATAGTCAACAAATGTGATACTGTGTTTTGATGAAATCACATGCATTTGTTAAAGGAACTAAGGCAGATGTACTGTTTTGTCTGTTTTTTTTTCTGTCTAGAGTATACCTCTGTACAGTGTTTGACACCCCACATCCACTGCACTTTTGTGTAGTGCCAATCTGTTGTGCTGTGTTTCTCCATTAATTACAGTGTAATAGGAGAATTGAAAAGCAATGGAAATTTGAGACTGGCGTGGTGTAGCGTGGAAGTCCTAAGGAAAAGCTCATCTTCATTAATGATGGGCTTATGTAATGAGACATAGACTAATTTTTTCTGTCTCTGTGAAAGTATTTAATGAAGACTTAAACTCCAAGAAACTTGGGAGTTAACTATTTATCAACAGTGCTGCATCATGAATATCAAGGCAGATGGGGTTTGGTCCTTGATAAAGACATACCCCTAATTCCTAATTGCATTAGAATATCTAGAATAATGAGAAAACCTCTAATTTTCCAAGAAAGAAAAAGAAAGTAAATAGATCGTTTTAAGCTAGCCTCTCCTTACTGTAATACAGTGTCATAACCAATATTGCTATATCATTTCTTTATCAGAAAAGACTAAAATATATTCAAGGTTTCCAGAAAACATGTTGTCACACATTAAGATCATCAGATTTATTTTTTTTTCCCAAATTCTTCCCAAATATATAAATTAAGCTTAGTTCCAGTTTGATTAATGTCTTCCACTACTCACTCATCTGCAGAAACTATTAAGATTTTGATGTGGTAAGGTCAAAAAGTGGAGGTTAAGTATAGTATTTATTCTTAACTTGCTTAAATAGTTCTGAAATTTAAAATAATCTGTAATTTAAAATAGTCTCTTTGGTCTTGGAAGCAGGAAAGAATTATTAGGGGGTCTTGTGCAAGCAGTGAAATGTATTTTAGTGGTCTCCAACATGGTAATGAAAAAACTGAGGTCATGTCTTTTGAAGTGAGTTTTATATAGCATCTTCTTTGTGGTTGAATTCCACTGATCATGACACCTTGCAACAGCAACCAAAGGAAATGGGGTTTAGCTGTATAATTTTTTATATGGAACTGACAGGTTGCTGTAGGAACATGGGTACTAGAGAAGGATACATGAGGTTTGTGTAGCATGTAGATTTGTTATTATTACAAAAAAACCCCACTGTGACTGTCTTCTCCTTTTCCTTACAATTACATCTGTAGATAAGGAGCTAAGAAGTAGGAGTCATATGGAAGAAATTATTCTTCCACCCATTTTATCTAAATGTATTACAGACCTTCAGAGTCATGATTCTGAATTCAGCAAGTTAGGTAGGGCTAGGTAACAGCATGTTTTGTCATGTGTTAAATAATTGCTAGCTGGATAGCTATTAAAAGTCAATAACATGAAGAATATAAAAGCGTGGTTATTTCAGATTTGTCCTTGAAATGTGGATCAAAGTTTATGTTCATTGTACAAATGAGTCATTGCGAGAACGAAGAGAGCAGTAAAGGGTATCTCTACTTATGTTAAGTGTTTGTGTAGGTTAAGTAAAATTGTTATATAAAGATTTTCTAAACGGAAAATTAGTTTTGCAATCTGGAGAGAAGGAAATAAAATAAACAGTAGGTTAATAAATCCTTGTTAGTGTTTCAGTCAGTGAAGAAGAGATGGAAAGAAAGCCCCTCCATAGAGTTTCCATCATAGTATTCATGGCTAAAATTTCTTTCTGTGTTCTGGACCATCTTTGATAGCTTTTACCTTTGAAATATCTTTATTTAAATCAACACAGCCTCTCCTTGTAAGTATTGACTTAGTGGTTTTTTTTAAGATTAGGAGGGAAAAGTTCTTTTGTGGGTCCAGAAAGTGCTTTCTGAGCACAGCCCCTTTTGTTTAACCTATGAACTCTGTCCCTCGTCCATCAATAAAGATGTATATTATCATTTCTATCATTATTTCTCTCCCTCCAATTTTACATATCCCTCCATGAAGCAGGAACGATTTGTTTGAGCATCTTATTTTCAATACTGATGCACATAAAATTTTATTAAGGTGTTTTGTTAAAAAAAAATTGTAGAACAAAATTTGTTGTGGTATTAGCTTCTCTCAGCAGTGTTTCAAAGATGCAAAATAGTAAAAATCTCAGTTCTTCAAATATAAAGGCTTCTTGGATAGAACTCTTGGCTTCTTTATCTTTTTCCTTCATATTAAAAGAAAATCTGTAAGGAGATTGTACCTGAACAAATTTAACACCATCTCCATGACAACCAACTAATTAATCGCTATCGGTCTGGCTTTGGTCCTCTTCAATGAACTGATACTCCCCAGCTTTATTTCACATATCTTCTTCGTTTTCTATGAAGGTCATTTCTTTAGCAACAGTATTTCTTTGGGAAAAGCAGCCTCTTAATACAAGCAACAACTTTCTTTAAAAACAGCTCAGTCTGACCTGTGGTTTCCTCTCAGTTTTGCTTCCTGCACAGTAGTAGAGAGTTTCTGACGTTGGGGTTTTTTTTTTTCCTTCTTGCTTTTCCTGATATTTCCATTTTTTCTTTTGGCCATAAGTGTTCATTATGTATATTATGACTGTGACCACATTGCAGTACAGGTATTCCCAACATAAGTTTGGATATAAGTTTGTGTAGTAAGTAAGAGAAATCAGTCCCCAGCAGCGTGATGTTTAGAGTGGGCTAAGAGTCACTAAAAGTGACTTTGCTTCTTGGGACAAATTTTGCAGGTCTGAGCCTCTAACGCTGCATTGCTGTAAGTATTCATACTTGCTAGTGTAAAGTCATCTCTACACTTTCAAAGTCAAAGTTTCTGCAATGTTAGAGGTACATTGAATCCAGTAAGATACTTGCCACGGTTACTGCATCATTTTTGACTTCATAAATATTTTTAGGAGGCCTGGTACTTGCGCTATTGTTGCGAGTGCAAGCTTTCCCCTATGGTAACAGTCTCCATCCTGTGAACTGTAAGAACATAACGTCTGTAGATAGTGCAACCAAATGCCCATATAGCTCAAGAGCCTGTCTTTCCTACCAGCCTCTCATAGCAGATACCTGTGATAGACTGTAGGGACAGGGAAGGAATGAGATGGTGCCGGACTTTTTCCCCTGAACGTTTTCCCAATTTTCAACTGTCTGTGGCTAAAGGAGTTCAAGGCTTGCAAGCAGTAAAAAGAAGAATGAAAGCTGAGGCTAGGAAAGAACAATAATTTTCTATCCTGAACACTTCTTATATTTTGTAAGTTTTCATTTTCTTTCTGGATGACTTCACTGTCTCTTACAAATCAAATATGTTTATACATGTACATTTATACATGTTATGTGCTTACTATGGGAGGAGAGTGAAAACAGCTGAATACATCCCTCAGTCCTGCAGTCTCCTCACTGTGGAGGAGTTTAGTTCACATGTTTACTTCCAATCTTTGTGTTTTCCTGTCATGTCTCCTGCGTGTATTCATTGTTTGAAGTTATTCCATATATTTACTCTTTGGATGCCCTATTTTTTGCAGACAGTTTGTGGGACACCTCAATTATCTCATGCAATTTAGTAGTACTTATGAGAGATGGATATTGATGTTCAGGTGTAGTGCATAAAACTATAAAGGAAGCAAAAATGTTGTAGCAACTCCCTTATTTTTCTTCGTAAGTAGCAAGCCAACCAAACAGATTCAGAAGGGCAAGATGCACTGGGAGAGGCTGGAAATAATTTTGGATAGTTTCCTTCATAAGCTGATTCTCTTCTTTTTTTTAATCACGTTGTGAGCCTGCTGGAAGAAGTTATGACTGAAGGTAATAGATACTCATATTTTACATAATAAATGACTGGAGAAATGGATCTAAGTGCATGTATAGTACTTGGGATTTGTGTGAAGTGATGAAAGGAAACTTGCACCAAAACCAATACTGAGTTGGAGACAAGTTAGGCTGCAAAAGTGACCTTGAAGATGGGAAACATTGTGGTGTTAGATTATGTCTATCCTGAATCATTGTCTTTCAGCTACTTATTTGACATTGTGATATATCTGGATTTAGAATAACATTTTAATTATTCTTCTTTTTTCTTTCCTTTTTTTTTTTTGACATGCTACTGAACTGGTACGTATGAAGATTGCTGTGTTCACTGTATCCTGGCTTGCTTGTTCTGTGAATTTCTCACCCTCTGTAACATTGTTCTGGGACAAGCATCCTGTGGCATCTGCACGTCGGAGGCCTGCTGCTGTTGCTGTGGGGACGAGATGGGGGATGACTGTAACTGCCCGTGTGACATGGACTGTGGCATAATGGACGCGTGTTGTGAATCTTCAGATTGCTTGGAAATCTGCATGGAATGCTGTGGGATCTGCTTCCCATCATGAAATGCTTAGCCCTTTTTATTTTATTCTCTATAAAACTGGAGAGCTTTTCTTTAAATACATTTGAAGAAAGACAAGGTAAGATTTTCACACAGCCAACTGGTATTGCACTGTTGATTCCCTATATATAAATATTTTTTTTTTAAAGCAATCCTCAAATCTGTATTCTAACACAAATTGTGTAGTTTTTTTATGTGAAACTCAAGCTACATTCCAACTTCCTTTTGGCTTTGCAAATGGAAGACTTCATTGAAACCGAATTACAGGCCCAATACCGCAGGCTGTATGAGGGCAAAATTGCCATTCGAATTGAGTGACAGGTTTTGGTCAGAGAAGAGACTACAGGGCAAAGCCTTAAGTATTTGCCTTTACCTACTTTAATGTTTAAACGCTTGAATGCCTCCATGCATAACATGCCTTTACAGGCATTCCGAAAGGCAAAATGTCTTTATTTCAATCTCTTTGGGTTGAAAGCAGCTTTGCTCTGTTATTTTAAACTTAATTCAAAAGTCGGCATCGGGAATCTACTGTTGGTTTTGCTACAGTGGTCACATTGGCAATATTTCTTTTGTTTTGAATGTCTCATTGCTCTGTGAGGGATTCCTGGTGTTTTCCATTGTCAGTACTGATGCTACAGGAAGGTCTGGCAAACTAAAGTCAATGTAAGTTTTGCCATGGACTACAGTACCAAGATTTTGTTGTTACCAGTCAAGAGAGAATAGAGAACTTACATTTTACTTCAGTACTAATATTACTTGAAATGCTTCGTTTTAGAAAGAGACTTTGGAAATCTGTGTAGACATGAAATATAGCCTTAAACTAACAGACTAACACATTTTAAAAAACTGGCTATAAAAGGCAAGTTTTCAGAAGTTAACTCAAGAATCTAAACCTGTACATTAGTGGCCCTTGTCAGTGGGGCCAGTATCACATAACTTAGTGTTTATTTCTTCTCTGTGTGAGAAAGATCCACAGAGGATGACCGAATTTAAACAGGGTTATAAAAGAGCAAATTAAAACTGACTTGATCAAGGAATTCTGTCATTGAATGCAAAAAGCAAATGCAAAAATGTTTATTCTCAGATACATTTTAAGTGTTATCTTTAAATAACTGTGTAAAAAAAATGAAGGACCTTTAAAAAATGTATGATACTCTTTAAAAATAAAAGGAATATGATTTAAAATGTTTGAAAAATACAGTTAGGATCCAGCGGGCAACTTTCCCTATTACACCATTAAGATTTTCTGAGAATGATCTGTCTTTGACATTGTAATTGTGAGATGAATTTGGTCCCACACTTAAAGAGGTTTATGGCATTCCCAGATTTAGGGAATAATGGTACCCATTTTCTTTACCATCTGCTAGTTTCTCCCCTCTGCGTCTGTAGCTCATTAACTTTTCTGTGTAAACCACCTATATATCTTGATCTCACAAACTTTCCTATCTACACTCCAGATTTCCCATTTATAGATTGTTGGATCTTATAAATTTAGGCCTTGTTACAAGAGTCATCGATAGCCAATAGCATATTTCTGTTGAGTGAATTGACCATAAATGTCTCTTTCCGCTGTAGTGAATTCAATTTATGTAAATGTGACAAGCTAAAGATCACAGGAGTGTGAAGCTAAGTCAACGAATGGTCTGATACTAACCACAGCTTCTCCCTGTGAACACTGACTAGTAGTGCCTACTACTGCAAGTTATCACTGAAGGTAACATAGCCAAATCCTCAACTATACTAGGGAGCTGGGAGGTGTTACGTTTTCCCTTAACATCTGCAATATTGTGGTGTATTCTGATGCAATGCAGATTTACTCAGAGGGTTTCTTATCTGATTTTTGATAGTTACTACAAGAACTGATTCTTATCATGTTTTTTTTTTTTCCATATGCCGGGCCAGATTCAGATCTGTGTTGCATAAACAAAGTGCATTTCCATTAATGTCAGAATATTCCATTGGTTTAGCTCCAGCTAGAGAGCACAAAGATATTATGGTAATAGGCAGGCTAATAAGGAATCATATAGTTAAATTGATAAATTCCCTGAGCTCAGAATCAGGCCCATGGGGCTCAATTATGACTCCTAAAAGTCTGAACCACATTGGGAAGGGGGAAGAGATGCCTTGGTTGAGTGGCAGTGCCTGGAGGCATTTTGCCTTTGTAAGGCATAATGCCTCTGGGGAAATTGGGGGCATCACAGTGAGCACTGGGACTCGATGCACCTTGGAAAAAGTATAGACAGTGCTTCGCTCCTTGTAGGTCTATGGTTGACACTGTGGTGATGGGGACATGCTCTCTGGGGCTAGGCAGCACCATTAGCTGTCCTTCCTTGTGTCATGCTGGTCCCGGAGAGGTGAATTGCGGCTGTTTCTTGTCTGATTGTGCTTTTGGGGAAGAGGACTTCCAGTCTCCTGTTCTGCTCCAATGCCTGTGCCCTGCTGGAGCAGTTCCAGCTTTCTGTTTGGAAAACAGCACATTTGCATATAAAGTTTTTAGCGAATGCTGGGTGTTCTTAAAAATTACTTTTACCACAGGATGATAAAGTATAGGGAAAAAAAGATCAGTCTGGGGAGTCCTTTTTCTGTGTAAAAGTTTGTTTATACAATTTGCTCTGCACAAACCCTTATTTCTGCTTACAGGAACTCAGAGGTTTTTTTGGTTGATGGAAATTATGCAAACCTGGGAAGTGTATTTACTGTTAAGCATTTACTTCCAGTACTGTTAAAATACAAATACTAATACAGGAACTCTGTTCCTGCATATATGCATATGTGTATAGACTCTCACACATGTGCGCACACACATACACACACACACACACACACACACACACACACACACATGCAGATATATTCTTTCTTTTTCCACTTCATTCGTGAAATACTAGGAAGTGAAAATAGTGTTTATTAACCCTCATAGTGATTAGAAGTTTCAAAGTATTAAGGACAATTCAAAAAAATAAAAAATTGTGTGATTTGTTTGACATTTAAATGTAATCTGCTACTTTTGTCATAGAGGTATTAGCACTTTTGTAAAATGTATCTTTGTAGCAGATAATATTAGTATCTAGTTTAAGGAATTCCTTTCTATATTTATATTCTTAAATTCTGTTTTGTAATTTTCATTCTATAGGCAGTCTATAAGCACCTTTTGTAATTAAAACAAGCAGAATTAGAAGGAGACAAATGTGAAAATAGTTTAAATAAAACATCAGAACTTAACTGTGTATTTTATAATAGTTCTTGTGAACTTGTACAGTTTGTCAGTATATAGTTCTGCAGACTGGCCCATTTGAAAAAATGGTAACTTGCTATTTGTATTTTATATCAACTGGATGTGCTATTCTCAAACACTATTTTGAAATAAAGAACTTTATTTTGAAACTTCGGGATATCTTCTTCTTTTAGTTGCCCTGTTACTCTTCTGAATGATAATTTCATGTCTTATTTGTGATTTTTCTGTTACAAGACTTACTGAAAGCTTTGGCCTTCGGGTGATTTGCACGCAGGGTGAGCCAGTGTAGGTGAGTTGTTTTACATGTGAAGCTAAACCAATTCAGGCACTGGAAGCTGTGTTAGCATGAATCCCGAACAGTAAAAAAAGTTTGTCATTAAGAGGGCAAATTAATTCCTTAGTGTAACTGTATTAATGAGGTGGAATTCTGGTAATGATTACATTTGATCAAAATGAAAATTATTGTAATATATCTGCTGCAAGCAGCCTTCAGTTTACTAAAAACAAGCTGAACACAGAGTGTAGCTGGTTCATAGTATTGCAGTAGACATATTAATGTTTAATGGCGTTTGTGGCCTACAAAATTGAAGGCTTATACACAATACTACTATTTTAAAGTAAGGCATATTTTTAAAATCAGTTAGTTTAAACACAGATAGAGTAGACTGCTTCATCTGTGATGTAAGCAAAGATTTTTTCATGTTGGCTTAAGCCAAGTGTGAACATGCTTATGCTACTTAAAACCTGCAAAACCTGCATGTCTACAGTCTTTTGCACTAATTTTTGTGTGTCTGTTTTAAATTTATTGAACGTTCTGCCATGTCTGTGCATACGTGGGCCCTTAGAGGGTCTACAATAATTGTACTATGCCATCTCTGGGTGTTACAGAGGTAATATGTTAAAGCTGACAGAAATTCTGTGCTTGAATGTGTACCACGAAGTCTTGCAGTTGAGACTGTGTGCCAAACTTCGCGTAGAAAATAATTGTTCATGAAAAAGAACTAATAAAAGTATAGACAAATATCACTGTTTGAGACTTATTACAGGTGTTCTGTCTGTTATCTATAATACATAATATTTCTGGAAAGAAATGGCTTCTATGAAGGGGGATTGTGATCAACATTTGGGAGCTTTTGGATTTAATATTGACTCTATTTCAACTTGTGTTAACCCTTGAGTTTGGTGAATCATTGCTTTTATAAAGTAATCTGAAAGAAAAGCTTTTCTGAGCTGTTCACACCTTTTTTAAAAAAATTGTCTTAATGATTGCAAGGTTTGATACGTGTTCTTGGAGAGAAACGCCAATTGTAATGATGTATGTCCACAATAACACTCCTTCTGTCAGCAGCCTTGTAACTTTCTGAAAGGCAACAGATGTATCCGAAATCTTACTCTTAGCCCCCAAATGAAATTAAAGATTGGAGAAGTATCTCCTTGGTGTCTTCTTTCTGTCTCTCTCCCTGTCTATATGTGAGTGTGCACACCATGTGTTGGAAGATTTCAGGTAGTGTTGGTGGTGACAGTAGTCACGGAAGAATCCTACAGGCATTCTTTTTTTTTTTTTTCTACCTTCTAACCCTTCTTCCAGTTCTTTTAACTTCCAAATAAAGCAGGTGGACCTTAGCTCAATTGTAGCATCAGTATATTTAAAGAAGTTCAATAAAAATAAAACCCTGCACCCACTTCCATGATGCACTTGTTTGCTGTGCTCGGTATACTGGAATGTGAAGTTGATTGCTTGTACAAAATGAAACCTCCTCATAAGCACTTGCTTATGCTATTTACCAGTGATTTGTGCTGGTGACATAAAAGGATGGCCTTTCTCTTCTGTAGAAGCCTTTGATATTATGGTCTCTTTAGTCTACTAGAGTTGGAAATTTCTCTGAATTACCGTTCTGCAAAACAGGCAGATGTTGAGTTTGATTAGGTGATCTTAATCTCTATATGGTTTTTAGTATATCAGTTCACCTCACTTAAAACTTAATTTAATAAAACACTACATGCAATCCTGTGTGCCTCCTTTATGTATGTTTATTATGGCAATTGTTAGTACATTACAATTCAATACTCATGAAAATGGGATGCCAGGTGGAAGATTGTATAATACCTTTTTTACCTTTAATAGTATCTTACTCATTTTTATTCTGATATGCATATGCTATTTTAATTGACAAAATACTCCACTGTAATTGAGGCTCTTTATATCATCTCAGTAGGGTATGTAATTGGTGCCCAAGCACTATACAATTCCTCTTCAATCAGTGGTGTAGGCTTCTACAATTTGTCTCATCTCTAAGTTGCACAAAGTGACCACACTGTGAATAGGCTGTACTCCAGCTTGTATGTGTTTCACATTATAATCTTTTTGCACAGTGCTTACCTTTGTTCCTTTAGCTTTATCACAAGGTGGTTTGGTTAGTTTTGGTTTTTTGTAATCCTCATTATTCAAAGAGAACAGAAAGGGTATTTATTGTGGAGGTCTAGGACAATATCAAGATGTATGTTATGTTGTAAGTTATTTCATCTTTTCTGTGTTCACTGTTATATGTAACTCCTAGTCAAATAGACTTGTGAAAGTGGTATGTTTGGAACTTTGGAATATACCTAAGTAGCTCAACAGTGGCTTATATTTGAATATATGAAGTTCAAAATATAATGATTGTGTCTTGCTTATTGAAATAAAGAATTTAAAGTTCTGTTGAGATGGACTCTGCAGAGTCTTGCAAACTGGCAATCTTCAAAATAATTCTACTCGCAAGAATAAGACCACTACCTTATTTTAAAATTAATACCTTTTACAGTGGCATATGTATGGTGGCTTTTAGATCCTGTGCTACTTCCAGTTACTGAAGACTAGTTATAACAAGCTTGGAAAAAGCAATGTATTACAC